GCTAAACGTAGCCCAACGAATAACTATCAAATTCCGTAATCATATCCGATCATATGGAAAATTTAAAACAAACAAACTATCCATAAATACTAAAAAATCAACTAAATTGACTCGATAGATACCGCGCATGTTTTGTCAATTTTTTCTAAGTATTTTGGGTAAACCATATGCTGTATGTTTCTTACTCATTCTTGATGGATGTATATCGTCATCAAACGCTCCAATAGTGTGTGTATTATTATAGAAGTAGCCTGAATAATTCTGTTCGCCTATTTTACATCAAGTTGTGTAAGGGGACTGAAATCTATGGGCAGTGGGTAAATCCACTTGGCTGACACAGATAGTCTCCGAACTCGTAATAGAACTAAACTAAGGATATCGGAATAAAAGTTAGGCCTAACTAGGCTTACCATTCGTCCCGGTTTAGCGGGGGCAGTCCCGGTTCTGACAAGCTGTCCCGCCAGATGGACTTAAATGTCCAGGTTATGCAGCAAGACAGTCATAAACAATTTTTTTATATAATACTATTACAAAGTTATTTTATTAACGGAAGCATTTAATTTATTCCTGATTCACTAGTTAATTAACAAAGGGAGGGAGAACTGATGTGTTGATGTGTCATAGGTATGGCTGGGAATTTCAGAGAAAACACTTTAACCGTCAACCGGGTAAATTTAACCGGTTAATTGTAGCGTGACGTTTAACGTAATAATTTATAATTTTAGCTTGTTACGTCACATTGGTCACAGAGCAATTTTGGGCGATATTATCCCGGTGTCGCTCAAAATTATTCACGAATGGAGATAGTTTCATGAACTCTCTGCTGCAAGAGTTATGCAGCGTGCTTCGGACATATGGAAGTATTTTAGTAAAATCCGAATCCGTTATTATGTCATTTATGTGACAAATTTTTAATTTTCGACGTACATAATCTACTCTGAGATATCATAAAGAAAAACAGCATCGACTGCGCATTTGTTCAATGACATTGAATATACGATTTTGCAATAAAATATATTTCAATCAAAACCTGATTCTGAATTTTCATTGTCAAATTTCCATAATCAGCAATCTTTGTACTTTAATTATTTTTCTCATTTATTGGGTTTTCACCAATACAACTATTTATCTTCTTTTGAATTATTCGCCACAGGAGATGAATTTGCGATGACGTAATCATTTTTGAAGAAATTGTACATTATAAAGATGCTTTGTACCTGAGATATCAGTTAACGATTAAAATAAATCCTAACCGTTAGTCATCTAAAATCGCTTAACCGATTAACCATTAGTGTGAATACTCTGTTTTTCTATATTTAATTTGAGCTTCCTATTCTATTTATTTATTTTTCATGCTGTGTTAGACCCTATCAAGGGTGACTATTTTGTTTTTCTATATTTTGATTTAATTTAAGCTCTGTATTTTTATTTCGTTTTTTTATGCTTTGTTAGACCCCATCTAGCTGCTCGATAACCAGTACTGGTTTTCAGCGTCTCTATCCACTCTGTAAATAATTTCCTTACTTTTTTCTACTCAAATAAGTAAGTTGCGTATTTTTAGTTTGGCTGGAAAAATAAATTACTGACTGATTCCGTATGTACTTTACCCGTTTGAGTGGAGAGTCTTGTTGTCAAATTGCATATTTTTTCAAATTCACACTGTTCAAGTAACAGAGCATAAATCATTTTGTCTTAATATGTACAACTATTGCAGTATACCAACCGCGGGTGTCTCTCTTATGTTGATTATTGAAATGTTCGCTTAATTGACGAGGTATTTTTAACTCTCAAAGATATCCTGCTTTTATGACAAATGTTTGGCGACCCCGCGTACGAATTAAATTATAGCTAATTTAATGCCCGGTATCTACTCGCAAAGATATGATAGAAGTTTCGGATATTACTTGAGCTCGGAACCCTCATTTCTCGTCTTGGCATCGGTAAGGTAGGTCCCGAGTAGGCTATCAGGAGTGCCCGTCATCCCGTCACCCGCTAAATTATCAGGAGTACCCGTCAACTCGGTGTTCCCGTATAGTATGTGAAGTGTGAACCAATATGGCGGACACCGGAACGTAGTAAGTGTACCAGGTTAGGGTTTGATCATAATTTTATTTCAATTTTCCTTATTTTAGTTCTATTGCGAGTTCGAGGACTAGCCAAGTGACTCAGGTAGTATTTGTACCTGAAATTATGGCCTAATCCTAACCTGGTACACATACTACGTACCGGTGTCCGCCATCTTGGTCATATACTACGGGAGTACCAATTTTTCTACCTAAATCACTAGTTGATGCAATTAGGCTGGCACTAAAATTGATATCTATCTCATTATTTTTCTAGTTATTACCGACTCTTACTATGAGACTCATTAGCAGATGTGAGCATGATATTAGGATCAGGCGCCAAAAAATAGACCTAGACTGGCGGACCATGTAGGTGTGACGTGATTAATTACATTTTAGGAAAAATATTTACAGACTAGAAAACAATAAGTCTCGTGCAAAAATCAGGCGAGCCAGATTGAACACCCCAACATGACAGATTTGACCCGCGGGCCGTAGTTTGCCCATGCCAGCTCATCGCCTGTAACTCTCAATGAGATGACTTGGATATCTTCAATATTTTCAGTATGCGATTGATTTGCATGTGTTTCAGCTTATTGGCTTCAACATGCTCACCGACTCATTAGTTTTCTATAAATTAGATTAGTAGAATAATACTAGAGCCAAGGATTCCCTCCATCCCGTCCGTGTTACCAGATTTCGTATCTTGGCTTGAATACAACTTCTCTTCCCTACAAGATTGAAAAGCTGGGGAGTAAACAGTGTAAAATGCCATCTTGATATAACTCTACGACAGCGGTAAAACGGCGGCTGCGAATTTTACTCTATACTCTAATAATTTAATTTTCTAATCTACGATCGAGGAGCATATTAGCGAACACGGACTTCATTAAATATTCTTCTTCCTATCGTTATAAAGAAATCGATTAGGTTTAGAAGTACATGTGCGTGCGAACAATGATTGTCGAAAATGAAAATCACAAAAAACAAGCGGAGAACTAGGATTAGTGATGCCCATTTAGAAAATATTCTAATCTTGGCTTCATCCAGCGTGTCACCTGATGTCGAAAAGCTACCAAGCGTCACATTAAATGTCATTTGTAAGTTGTTTGCATGGTAAGACGACTTGACTCCACGAGTCGTCGCTCGCTATTTAAAGTCTAAAATTTCAACTTCTAATCTGTGTAAAGAATGCGATTCCTCTTCCACACGATCGGTTTTCACCTTTCTTAAAGAAATATGTGCGGCCCGCCAAAATGGGTAAACCCTAATTTTGGCCCGCGAGCGACAAAAGGTTGCCGACCCCTGCTTTACGACTTATTTGTAATAAAATGCCCATCTCTTACTCCTACATACAAGCAGAGAATAGGCATTCATGCTGGAGAAATATTGAAATCGTTTTTTTTTTGTTCGCACCGGTAAGGTAGGACCTTAGTCGCCAAGTTTACTGGAATTATCGACAGACAAGCGATACGCAGGACGTCGCACAATACGGAATAAATAAGTGTTCACTTCGAATAAAATGAAACAGCAAAATTTTTGTTGAAAAAATGGGTCCCATGAGACTCGGAAAAAAAAACTATAGTCTCCGAGCATCTTCTTCTGTCTTAAAGCAAAACCCCCTGAAAGCTCAAGGTAATATTCTCATAGAAGCTACTTCCATCTCGGTTTTATTAAAATTTGAAATCAATTGGGATACATTAAATGCACGAAGAAGCGATTTCTAAAAAATGGCGCTGCCGTAGCATGTGAACCAAAATGGCGGACACCGGAATATAGTATGTGTACCATGTTAGAGTTAGCCCATAATTTTATTCCTAATTTCCTTCCTGATTTTAGTTCTATTACGAGTTTGGGGACTAGAAATATGACTCCCGTAGTATTTGGACCTGAAATTTTGGTCCGCCTTATCTGGTACAAATACTACGTTCCGGTGTCCGCCATCTTGGTTCACATACTACGGCAGTACCAAAAAAATACCCAGAAATTCAACAACGCCATAATAAGAACAATAACAAGAATGTCTGAGTACGATTTTTATGCACAATTTGCAACAATTTTTTTTATTATTTTAACCTCATTAAATGTGCTGCTTGGTATCTGTATCTGATATTATCAAATTACGCTGAACTGATTCGTCATTTGATCAAACTTTTCTCTGGTCTCTTTGTACTCAGCTTTCGTCCTTTCAAGTGAGCCTGGATATGTAAAAGTACAAATTTTTTAAACGGGATTGTCTATAAATACATTTTCACAAGTTTCCTCCCAAGAAGAAGCCACACTGATTATGAAAAAAAAGAGAATATTTTCCTTTTGACATTGCCTACTCTGGAAGAGGAAATTGTACTGATACCAAAGCTAATGTTAATCACAAGGCAATCTCACGCGATTATATCAAAGGTTTGCAACCATGACAAAAAACATGGATAATTTAATTCTACGGTATAACTATCGACAGCACTAAACATTCCGAATAAGTAAAACCCAAATGCTAAACTCATGAGGGCTGAAAGTAACATTCTTCTAATTTTGAATGATATGACCGCGAAACGAGGTATCAAATTTAGTTTATTCTGGTACATACGAGCGATTCCAATCCCTGCGGTCTCCCAAATCTTACTATACACGAGTCCAACAACAAATAAGTCGTAAATATATACCCGCACTACTGAAATTTTAAAATATCTATAATTGTTTTCGAGTTATAAAATAAAAGAATAAAAAATAAACAATAGTACAATGGTACAACAATGCAACAATACAACAATGGTAATTAACTGTATATCGTGTTTTCCCGAAAATAAGACTGGGTCTTATTTCAATTTTCTTTTGAAAAATGACACTAGGGCTATTTTCAGGTTTTTTTTATTATTTTATTTTCATGTATCAAAACAAAATTACAAACTATAGAATTACGAGATTTTCAAATATGCAAAATATGAAAACCGATATCCATTTACTAGGTACTTATTTTAAGAGTAGGGCTTTTATTAAAATCATTTTTAGAATTCGGACTGGGTCCTATTTTCGGGGAAACACGGTAGCTGGAGTACGCCATATTACCCAGATAATTCGTATACGGCTCACACCATTAAAAACAGTAGATTTTAAACGCTAATTATTACTAACGCTCATTATTTACTGGTTAAAAAATAATCTTGATTCGTCCAGAAGTGTGTGTACCAATATGGAGGTAACTAATTTTGTTCGCATACTTTACATCAAGTTGGGTAAATGGACTAAAACCTATGGGCAGGGGGAAGGAGAATCGGAATAAAATGTTGGCCTAACCCTAACCTGGTACACACACTAGGGAGTGCCCTTGATTTGACCTAATAAACTGACCCCTGTTGAAGATCCTTCAAGCGTTTTCTCTCTTTGTTCTGATTCCATCACTTTCTCTTTGAGCTAGACATAAAAGATTGCATTAAAAATGTCTAGTTTCAAATTCTGAGCTTGAGAAATTTGTTTGAAATAGCAGCATATTGAAGCATTTTGGGTTCTGAAAATGATATACAGGGTGTCCATAAAGTCCCTTTACCATTTCAATGTTGTTATGAAGTCAGTTCTCAATATAATTTATGGAGCTACCAAAAGTCAAACCGAGCGCTAATTACGGAAACGTCAGCAATTCACTCAAAGAAGCAGAATTTTAGATATTTTTTATAACAACTTAGATGTGCGAAGAATATTCACATGCAACCGTTTAACTTCATATGGAGTACGGAGTTTATATTGTAACTGGATCTGCCAATAGTGAAGCTATGTACCCGCTAAACCTCATTACTGCTTATAATATCTTGCCATACCTGTTGCAAAAATTTGCCAAGAAGAAATAGCCGTTTCTGATAAAGTATTTGTTCCGTATAACTGGGACACTCGCGCTCGGATTTCATACTGTGTGTCAGGCTCTAGATTTGATAACCTGGATAAAAAGTGGAAAATTATTATTATTAAGTGAACTGTAGAAGCGGTTAAGACATTAATTACCTTTACTAAAGGTAAAGAGAGACTTGTAAATTTTAATTGAAATGACTTATTGTCTTAAACTGCATTAAGCTTATTGAGCTGCGTCTATATATTTTAAGTGACGTTCAGTTTTTTTTAACTTTACTTCATGTTAAATTTTCCGAAGTTTCCACTTTTTTCTCTTAATTAAATACAATATTCTTGCTGTCAATATATCAGATATTCAATATTTTATCTAGACATCCGGATTTTTCAAAGACCCTCATTCACAAATCCAGCTCCGAACAGTGTCCGGTACAAGTACTGAATCTACCACTGCTAATTTTGGACCGCATTTACCATTGGAGCAATGCACATTTCAATATACGTTATTCATACCAGAACTGAAAATATTGACCGTTAGGTGTCGTAACTATTGTTGGCACAGCAACGGCTCCAACTTCTCGATATTGAATTGCCCATTCCGACACTCTTGCATAGTTTCTCAGTTGAAACCCGATATATACTGATGTTGACAGTGGTTGGATCAGGATAATGGATGGCGCTCCAGGTACTGAGAATGAAATGTATTATATTAGGACTCTATTTAATCAGTATTCATACTTAGGGTCGTCTCAAAATTGCATTGAACAGCGTTTGATTAGAACGATTTAAATTTCTCATTTGATTCATACGCTAATTTTTGAAATCCAACTTGTCAATGCATGTTCTACATATATTTATTTAATGATTGGTGCTTTTGCGCGAACACAGCAACGAGCTTGGCAAAACCACTCCGCTAAAATAATATATATATAGACTAGTTCGTCTTTACTTAGCTTAAAATCCTTACAATTTTCAGCGCTTCAAAGGTTAAAATTGTAGTTCACAAAAATAGCTTTACATTGACGAATTTTAGGAACACTACATGTGCTACGGTTATTTTTGAAATGCCTTGCAAAAACATGAAATGCCGATAGTTGTGTAGTTTGCCGTAACGATCAAAATTTCTCACTCGACATTATATTAGAAATATACCTGTCTATTCATTTCGTACATATATTTAATATTGGATACTTTAGAGTTTAGACCAAACGGACCAATGAACATGGCAAAAGCACTTTTCTCAAATTAAGCTATAGGCTAGTGCGTTACATACTTTGATAGGGTAATCTGCAAAACCTAAATGTCGGTTATAGAAAAGCTTGCCGTATCATATTGAGTTTAGCCAGCAAAGAAAGATATTGATCTGTATATCAGTCTTTAACCACTTTATATTCTATTACCACGTTCCCCAATCAGAGGGGTAATCGTCCTCAAGGAGGATATATATATATATATATATATTGGGGGGGGGGATGTACGCTTAACACTAGCTAATGAATCCTTACTTAGATCCATTGGATATTGTATAAATTACTTTTTGTGCACAGTGAGAAAAAAAATAAAGATTCCCAAAACAAGCCAAGGGGAGATTTGAGGTCGGAAACCACTGATCTATTAATCGATTACATAAATCAGCAGTTAACTTCATCACCCATCTACATATTGCGCTCTTATTAATAATATTACTTTTAAATTTGTAAAAAAGTAGTTTTATGTAGATTAGTTGGTACTCCCGAAGTATGTGAACCAAGATGGTGGACACCAAACGTAGTATGTGTACCAGGTTAGGGTTAGACTATAATTTTATTCCAATTTTTCTTATTTTAGTTATATTACGAGTTCGGAGACTAGCCAAGTGACTCCCGTAGTATTTGTACCTGAAATTTTGGCCTAACCCTAACCTGGTACACATACTACGTTCCGGTATTCGCCATCTTGGATCACATACTTCGGGAGTACCGAATAGTTTAGCTTCTTTACTTACATGTATGAACTGATGTAGGAGAGCTGTCTTTGCCAATTTTTCCGGCAGAATTTTCTCCTTTGACACCAACGAAATACAAAGTACTGGGGTTTAAATCCCATGCCACCTCACCCAAAGTGTTTAAAATTGAAGTCTAGTCCAGTTCCAAAATAAATTAACTCCCATGAAAGAGAAGAACAAAAAGCGCAAAAGATGAAGAACAAAAGAAGAATGAAGAAGAAGAACAAAAAGCGCAGTTAGACGATTGCTATATTGTCTTTATCATCTTTTATCTACATGATTTGAATTGTATTATTCAAATCACAATATACCATCTAACATTTCGACACACTTTTGGAAGCCCGAATCCATAATTATTTTATTTAAAGGTTTAAAATAGCGCTTCCTAATCGGCGAGTGATTTCTTTGCAGGTCGGAACTTTACTGTTTCAGAGGAGGAAATTTAGCTTTGTGTTTGCATGTAGTAATATTAATATTTTTTTGTTTATTATTATTGTAATGTATATTTATGTGCAGGTCATACACTATCCGAACTTTGCAAAAAAACGAAGTGCGAATTGCGCTTATATCTAGCTCACAATTCATTCAATATTGGAAAACAAATGAAAATAGAGTTTTAATTCGTAGGGAGGAGGAATGCATGGATTGCATTAACAATACAACAACAAAAACAAAACAATTCTATTCTGTTAAATCAATGTAAAATACAGAATATCGGGAAAGTAACCTAGCGGTTATTCGATTTAATTACGTTAGCATCGCGGTTTCCCTTCCCGGATTATATTACGCGGCCACACTTCCCCCAGGGCGAGGTAATGAATAAGCCATGCCGGACCAAAAAGATTTCGGCCTTCTGAAACATAAACAGCTGTTCGGTTGCTGCTTAAAATTCTGAATGGGCGTCAATTAGATCTCACAATTATCGATATTGTGCCGTTTGAGACTTATTAAAAAAAAAATTTCTCAGAATAATAAGTAGATAACCATAAAATTTCTGAATAATAAAATAGTAACTACTTTCAAGGGTTCAAACTAGCAATTTCAATACCATATCTATATACTGACCGCAAAAAGAGTATTCAGAAAATTGCGATCCCAAGTTTTTTATATACAGATGCTAAGCTATCATTAAATTAGCAAATTGTTTTTTTCGAACACAAAGCCACAGAAATTGCTTTTCTAACTGCGACTCTCTATAGTAGTAAACTCTTGGCTCTCAATAAGAGGTGAAGTTTAATTGATGAAAGACTTGTGGCATTTACCGAAATTCGTCTTTAACTTTACAAATATGTCACCTCACACTGCATATTATTTCATATTAAGCTCAACCTCTAATAATTCTGAATATGCCATTAATAGTCCCAATATTCAATATTGATATCTTTGTAAAAGATTTTTACACCACCACCGAGGGATAGCTAGCTCGCAAAATGATGGAGTCACAAAAAATAGACAGTCCCCGAACTCGTAATATAACTAAAATAAGGAAAATTGGAATAAAATTATAGCCTAACCCTAACCCGGTACACATACTACGGGAGTACCAAACTTTGATTTAATACTTAACCTTAGGACTCGCCAAATATCACGCTAGCCTTCTGCTGCGAATTACTCATTTGTTGCAATTGTCTGACGTCTAAAACAAGAACGGTTACTCCAATTTCGCAAACCCATAAGAACCTCTTATGTCTTATCTATTGATAAATTTCATATACGATAATACTCCTCCCCGAATGTTTATGCACTTATATATTTTCCTTGCTCTAGTCTGCGTATGCTAGCCATACTTTCATAATTTGTTCAGGCAAAATTCCACAGCTCGGTAATATAGTAGCAGTCTTTTGAAGATACTGGTTACTTTAGACTTCTCAATTATAAATAAAATTATTTTGTCCACTTTCTGGATTCTAATTTTGAAATTCGTCTATATTTCCGGCTATTTCCAACTATGTGATTTTTTCAAAATTTGTTTTTGTTACCTCCAAAATGCTTTTATCGCAACAAAAGCAGATTTTGAACTATTTGCGGAAACGAATACCACATTTTAATGAACTAAATTAAAAATCACCATTTCCGTTGATAAGAATTAATGACACATAGGGGGAAACTAGACTTATGTAAAAATCTCGCTAATTTATCTTCCATTACCTTAACCATAGCTGTGCATTACCATGTTCTTCTCGTTCTCACCTACTCTATACGTAACCCACCAGTACAGGATATTTTAACTATTATTCCTTTAGTTGGCGAGTATTTAACATATTCGGCAACGAATGAGGCCAATGAGTGATTAAACCATTCAGCAAACAATTATTTTACAAAATTCGAATCCTACAAGTGTTTCCTGTTTCACTCTGTAAAGTGTCAAATTTTGCTTAAATCTATGTTATATTTATGTTTGCTTATATTTTTCATGATACAAATGCAATTTTAGTTAACCTAAATTACTTTTCGTAATTAAAATCTACATATCAAAGCATTGCATAAGGAGTTGCAAGGAAATAAATTAAAAAGCATTTCCTTGAAAAGACCTGAGATAAAACAAAAAGTTTTCGAAACATTCGATCGTTATTAAAATTGAAGAGAAGAAGAGAAAACTTGCAAAAATTATACCGCGACACAAGAAATCTTACATAATTATTTTAATGAATAAGCTGGCAACCTATTATATTCGAATAAATGAGACTAGAGGGCTAAGTAAATGCATCAAATATTGAACGTTTAATTTTGATGAAAAATAGTTTTGAGAAAAGTAGAGCTTTTTAAATTTTGAAATCACTTTCACTTTTGCAATGGATTGAGACAAAATTATAACTTTTTCCTTGTTCATGTTTATGCATTTTATTTCTGTGCAGATTGTTTTTGTATTGCAATAACTATACTCTCTGATTTAGGATGTATTTTCATCCTTCCCGCGTCATGTTGCGTAAACATCATGCTTCTAAGAGGTGAAACAACGAACCACTCCTTCAAATTGTCGAAAACACGACTCAAGTTGAATAAATGTGTTAGAGCTAATTGTGCATTAAACCCACCTTAAACTATCTTTATGCTCGTCTTTGCGCTACTCAGCAATTTGTTTTGTATTTTTTGCATTATATATGGAAGGAAAAAAAATTAAATGACTTCTGTGCTAATGGCTATAGACCATTAGGACTATGGAGATACATCATATCAGCCTGATGAACCATTCCAAAGCTGTTTTTTTTTTATAAATTTTGTGAATTTAAAACATATGTTACCATAAATCTCTCTCGAACTATCAAACTTATTCTATGCTCTGTACAGTCTACTACTATATGTATCAACAATGCGACGTTTCACTGAATTATTATTAACGAAACAGCTGTTTTGACGATTATATTCTTTACGTAACAGGATTTATTGTGAGACACGTGCAGACTAAATTATTAAATAATTCACAATCCCTCCTTCGATGATCCTATAGTTTGAAATTATAAATAGCAGAAAAGTTTAGGCTAAGTGCAAAGCGTTCAATGGCGCAAAAAATATTCAAATGGAATTTTTTAGGTTGCAATGCAATGAGAAAATAAATTTATATATATTCTATTCGAGAGATGTATCACTGCTTGATTTTTATAAAAAGTACCTTCTTCAAGAAAAACTCTATCCAAAGTTGACGAGCCGTGCGAAAAAAGTCACATCGATGTTTGGAGGTACATATGCGTGCAGAGAATTATTTTCGGAAATAAAATTACAAACAACAAGCTAAGAACTCAGATTAGTGATTCCCATTTTGAAAATTTTTCAATCTTGGCTTCATCCAGTGTGCCGCCTGATGTTAAAAACGTTTCAAGCGTGATGCAACAAAAAGTGTCACAATGAATGTCATTTGTAAATTTTTTCCTTCAAGTAAGACGACTAATCTTTCCCTATAATAGTACACATTGGGAATACTTAAAAATTTGTCGTTGAAGTGGAAAAAGGTTTGTCTTCAAGTCTTGTCGAAACACGAACATAGAGTTATGGTGACCAAAGTACATTGGTGACAAAGGCGAGTCAGTTAGACAAGACGCATTTAAGGAGTTGTTACAAGATATTCCGGGAGGATATGCGCATTTAGTAGTTTTTCATTGCAGCTAGACTAGTAGATATCTGCTGATTGGCGAGTTGTTCCAATGTAACGTATTAGATAGCAGGGATGGGAGCGTAAAGCAAGTTTCGTGAAGAATAAACAAAATCAGAAAGAATATTTGTCTTAAAAATGTGTGAGTGTTCTGCGTTTTAATTTTGCTGGTGTAAAGTTACTATGGACATGAAAAAATTGCACGTACTATTATGACTATCCTTGATTCTAATTTTGGATTCGCTTACAATTTTGGTTATTCCCAAATATGTAGTTTTTTTTTTGAATTTAATCAATTATTTGTTATTGTTAGCTCTAAAATGCTTTCATTGCAACGACGGCAGATTTTGAGTTACATTAATGGTGAAAATTAATTCAGTTTGGCGAGTGCTTGACATAATCGGCAAAGAATAAGGCCAATGAGCGATTAAACATTTCAGCAAACAATTTTAATACTACAAACCGCTAATCCAGAAAGTGTTTACGGTATGAATCTTGTGTAACGTATCAAATTCCACTTTTAGTTATCTTGCTTATATTTCCTAGTATTTTTCCGGAATACTATTTGAGTTAACCTTGTTTACTTTCCATAACTTAAATATACGTCTCAGTGCTTTGTATCACGACTTACTTTTTTATTATATATTTTGACGGCTGGGAATTTCAGAGAAATCACTGCAGCTGTTAACCGGGTTAAATTAACCGGTTAATGGTAGCGTGACGTTTGACGTAACAAGTTATAATTTTAGCTTGTTATGTCACAATGGCTATAAAACAATTTCGTGTCATCTTATCGCTCGTAATTATCGACGAATCGCGATAGTTTTATGATCACCTGCGGCAAAGATATGCAGCGTTCTTCGGAATTATGGAAGTATTTTAGTAAAACCCGATTCCATTATTAAATGTCATTTATGTGACAAATTATCAGTGTTCGATGTGCAAATTCTACTTCGAGATATCATAAAGAAAAACAGCATCAACTGCGCACTTTTAGGATGACATTGAATACACGATTTTGCAATAAAATCGTGAACAATATATTTTGATCGAAAACTGATTCTAAATTTATCCTTGTCAATTTTCATAAACAGCAATTTTGGTACTTCATTTATTTGTCACATTTATTGGGTCCTTTCAAACACAGTAAGTGGTATTCTTTTAAATTTAACGTCACAGGAGATAAATTGACGATGAACTAATTGTTTTAGAGAAAATTGTACATCACTAAGATGAATTGTATCTGAGATGTCAGTTGACGGTTAAAATAAATCGTAAGTGTTAACAATCTAAAATCGGTAAACTGATTAACCTGTTAACCAATCCCAGCCCTATTCATACGCAATCCGCATTGAATGCATTTCGTGCATTGAAATATCGATCACACAATATAGAAATATAAGTTAGTACATTTAGTATCTGGCATACAACATAACGCAAGATAATGAACCGCACGAGGGTTCCTCGTGCACTATTGCAAGTGGTTACTATGGTGGTGACTACGTCACAGAGGGATTGGGTGGGGAATTCCGAAACGAAAAAATTCAAGTCTTTTCAAATAATATTGAACCGAAAATATCAGATATTAGTGGCGCTTTGTTCGAAGCGGAATAAGCTTCGTATAAAACTAAATACAATACTGAAAATCTCATATAAATAGAGTTATGGCCTTTGCAAAAATACAACATCTGCTTTGCAACGAACTATCAATGAGTCGGTGATACAGCACGGTGACGATATATTAATCACTGACACGTATACGTGCTAGCGATATCATGTTAATTATTCATTTAGGGTAGAAAAATAATCAATCAAGTATATTAATTAGAAATCGTGTGACGGATCGAGCAGACGAAACCCCACTTCGGACAAATCGAGCAACAGAGAAACAATATCAATACCTGCCTTCACCGTATAACGATATAATTGCTTGCACATATTTATAGGTGGAAAAATATCATAATTAAGTTAATCATATTAAGATTTACGTGCCAGCTTAATCACACCACTCAATGATTTAGGTAGAAAAGTAATTAATCAAGTGTATTAGTTAGAAATAGTGAGACGGATCGTGCAGATTTAACCCCACTCCGGACAAATCGAGCAACAGAGAAACAATATCAATACATGCCTGCATCGTATAAAGATATAATTGCTTGCACATATTTTTAGGTGGAGAATAAAATATAGTACAGAAGTATTTGATTTTGAAAAAGTATTATGTGCAAAAGTGTTTGAAGCCCTCAAGAATGACAGAGAAATATAGCAAAGTATTTGTAGATTCAGATAATTAGTTTCGTCGTGCATGAAACATTGTAAACAAAAATAAAAATAAATCAAGTTAAAAGAGCAACAATGTTTCGGCTGCAATTAACGAAAAGTCGCGGAAGGCTATCGTGTTAGCGACGCATTAATTGCTCGGCAGCAGATGAAGTCAAAAAACGTCATTCAGGAAGCGTAAAGTGAATCGAGAAATTCAGTCAAGAAAGATGTTTAAATGGAAAATATGAATGAACTCGAAAGAGTCGGTAAAATATTTGAATGGGAAAGAAATATACATCGTATCGAGTTGGTCAGAAAAGACGCGTTTACCGAGTTTGTTACGAGTTATTCCGGAAGGATATGCGTGTTTAGAGTAGTGATTCATTGCAGCTGGGTTTAGCGCGGTCCACGGACTAACAGAAACTCGGTGGCTGGTAAGTTGTAGCAACAAAATATGTATTTTCTGATTAGTAGGGATGGGAGAGTAGAATAGACAAAATCATAAATACTATATATGTCTCAATTTGACTTTTCAATTTTAGTTGAATAAAGTTTTTCTGAACAAGGAATCCTGTTGTATATTTGGTATGAAAGACTCAATAAAATCGCACGCACTAATATGACAATATTTGATTGATTTCACTAGATTCATTTTTCAATCAAAATCATTAATTTTATTGTAACAAATTGTAGAATTAATTATGTGAATAATACTGCAAAAAGGCGTCTTTTTAGTTTGCTGAAAGCTAGATGGTTATTTGATGTTTGGAATAGGACAATATATCATTATCTCGTGAAATAGCTCAAAATTGTAAAAATATCAGCGCCTATTGAATCAAGGGTACACCCGAAGTATGTTAATTAATATGGCGGACACCGGAGCGTAGTATGTGGCGTATCTATATAATAATCTCATATAAATAGAGCAATGGTGGTTTAGAAAAAACACAATATATATCACGTCTGCTTTGCAACAAGTTAATACATCGGTGGTACTACCACGATACCGAGATATTAATCATATTAAGATTTACGTGCCAGCTTAATCACGCCACACAATAATTTAGGTAAAAAAATAATCAATCAAGTATATTAGGTAGAAATCGTGTGGCGGATCGTGCAGACGAAACCCCACTTCGGACAAATCGAGCAACAGGGAAACAATATCAATACCTGCCTTCACCGTATAACGATATAATTGCTTGCACATATTTATAGGTGGAGAATAAAATATAGGACAGAAGTATTTGATTTTGGAAAACTATTATGTGCAAAAGTGTTTGAAGCCCTCAAGAAAGACTGAGAAATATAGCTACGTATTTTTAGATTCAGATAATTAGTTTCGTCGTGCATGAAACATTGTAAACATAAATAATAATACATCAAGTTAAAAGAGCATCAATGTTTCGGCTGCAATTGACGAGAAGTCGCGGAAGGCTATCGTGTCATCGACATATTAATTGCTCGGCAGCAGAGGAAGTCAAAAACGTCATTCAGGAAGCGTAAATTGAATCGAGAAATTCAGTCAAGAAAGATGTTTAAATGGAAAATATGAATGAACTCGAAAGAGTCGGTAAAATATTTGAATGGGAAAGAAATATACATCGTATCGAGTTGGTCAGAAAAGACGCGTTTACCGAGTTTGTTACGAGTTATTCCGGAAGGATATGCGTGTTTAGAGTAGTGATTCATTGCAGCTGGGTTTAGCGCGGTCCACGGACTAACAGAAACCCGGTGGCTGGTGAGTTGTAGCAACAATATGTGTATTTTCTGATTAGTAGGGATGGGAGAGTAGAATAGACAAAATCATAAATACTATATATGTCTCAATTTGACTTTCAATTTTAGTTGAATAAAGTTTCTCTAAACAAGGAATCTTGTTGTAGATTTGGTATGAAAGACTCAATAAAATCGCACGCACTAATATGACAATATTTGATTGATTTCACTAGATTCATTTTTTCAATCAAAATCATTAATTTTTTTGTAACAAATTGTAAAATTAATTTTGTGAATAATACGGCAAAAAGGCGTCTTTTTAGTTTGCTGCAAGCTAGATGGTGATTTGAAGTGTGGAATAGGACAAAATATTATCTCATGGGGTTAGTTCAAAATAGAAAAAGCCCATGCGTATTGAATTAAGAGTACTCCCGAAGTATGTGAACCAAGATGGCGAACACCGGGTGCGTAACGTACCGTACCAAGGTTAGGGTTAGGCCATAATTTTATTCCGATTTTTCTTATGTTAGTTCTATTACGACTTTGGGGACTGTCTGTGTTAGCCAAATAATATCCCCCCTGCCCATACGTTTCCGTCTATTTACACAACTTGATGTAAATTAGGCGAACAAAATTAGTTACCTCCATATTGTTACAAACACTTCTGGAGCGACCTTATTTGAATGAAAAGTAGAAATTTCTGCAATTCAGTGGCTTTAGTACGTCGTATACTATCCAACAAGACTCCAAATACTATAATTCTATTTGATGATTATATAGGTGCAAAGTTGCTACCCTAAAACTCCATGCCCAAATCCTTAACCTTTCATCTAACTTTAGGTGAAGTTCGTTTTACCCGCCATTTCGTATCTTTCTTTGTTTTTATCGTCGTTTCAACTAGACAATGTATACATAGCGAACTAAAATTTTAATCTTTGTTATCGGATATTTCACAGTGGACTTTAGAGAAATCTAACCACCGGAGAAATATGGCAGCAAATCTCGCAGCCTATAATTGAAATTTTAACAAATACAGCCAACTCATTGAAACAAACGAAAAAGCATGTTTATACAATACTTTTGATTTTACCAGCCCTATTAAAACCAGGAAACCGGTGTTAAAAATGGCAGGGAAATTAGCAAACCTCAAGAATAAACTTCAATCGATGGAAGAACAGATTGAAAGTAAAGACGAAGAACTATATCATCTGAAGAATGAAGCAGAAAAGGTGGACGATTCGATTGTCAAGGTCTGTGATATGAATAGGGCTGGGCATTTAAAATCGAATATTCGAATCGAATCGAATAATAAATTATTCGAATCGGTTTAGAGCAATATTTCGAATTGCGGCCATCTTGTTTTTTTCCTTACCGCCAATGGTCGACAGGAATTTCTTAATTTTTTTTCCATTAAAGCCATATTTTTTCAATGCACATCTGGAATATGACTATTTTCTGTAGTAAGTTATTGATAAAACGTGTTTTTTATTGTGTGTGAGCGCTCAGCAATCTGTCTGAGTGATATATTCTACGTTTTCAGTAATTCATTCGTTGAACGGACCAATTACAAAAAAAAAAAAACCCCATACAATTATATCTCCCAAATATTCGAGATTCGATTTGATTCAAAAAAAATATTCGATTCGATTCTGAAATTATCAGGTATTCGAAAATGCCCAGCCCTAGATATGAATACTATACTACTACAATGCTACTGCACTACATTTTGACAATTAGCAAAAAAAGAAAAATTAAAAATTAAAAAAGTTTACTCAATTTGTTATTGTTAACAAAATCGTGTTTCTATTCATTCATGTGATACGGTGGACTTCGGGAGGCAGCTTCATTTATCAAACGCCACCATTTCATTTATACAGGGTTTCAGGGTTTCAAAGTCCTTTTACAATTTTAAATTTCCTTATATGGAGTCATTTCTCATTATATCTCAACCAGGTTTGTTGATTTTTAATCCGTAATTGTTCAAGTATTACTTCATATAATACATATGTGAATGCCAAAACAATACATGATATCGATAAATTCCCTTTCCAATTTTAAAACATTTCAAAACTTTATGAACACCCCACATATAAATATACTTGATATTGCTCGATCTCCTGCTTATTTTTTACCCGATTAATATTTTTTGAGGCTAATGCAGGCAAAATACGATTCCTACGTCTTAGAACGATTACCAAAATATTCTGGAATTCCCACGTCTTTTCAAATCATAACTTGTGCAAACGCCGCAGTGGAGAATGGACGCGCATTTAATCATCACAAACGCGAATTTGTACATTATTTTTTTTTTTCGAGTTCTGTGAGCTATAACTCAACAACTAAACAAAATAAAAGAAGCGTTGGGAAATCCAGAGGGGAAGCGTATCCTCGTAAAGTAATTGAATAACATTATTTATGATTTTAAAATAATTTTATAGGCGGAAGCAAAAGCTAAAGCTTCGGATGAAAAATGTAGTTTGATGGACGAGAAGATTCGTGAACTAAAGAATCAACTCCAAAGCATAAATCTGATTCTTACAAAAACGGAAGAGGACAATCAAGCATTAAAATGGTTAGACAATTATTCAAATCTTAATTCAGTATTGCGGTAGAGCAGCATGGAGATTTCATCAAGAATATATTCGACACAATAGCTTAGAGCAGCAGTTCCCGAAGGAATGTATTGTAATCATTAAACTTTTTTTAAATTTTTTGTTGAAAATTGCTTTAAATATGATAAGATAATAGCATGAGCAGCAAATTTTGCCGCTACTCGTAACATTTTGAGATACAACGGATCGAACTTTTAACAAGTGATATTTAAGCTATGTATTAAAACTTGTATCATTTATAATTAGAATAACATATTTCTTTTGTTTTTTTTGTAGGAAATCAATGCAAACTTCGGATGAAGCAGAGGTAAGTTTTTGATTGATTAATTTGAGATATTGTCCGTAGATATACTGCAATGTTTACTTTGAAATAATCTTTACAAAATTGTTACAAACTATGGCGGATACCTGAACGTAGTATGTGTACCAGATTAGGGTTAGGCCATAATATCAGGTACAAACACTACGGGAGTCACTTGATAGTCCCCGAACTTCTAATAGAACTAAACGAAGGAAAATTGGAATAAAACTATGGCCTAACCCTAACCTGGTACACACTACGTTACGGTGTCCGCCATCTTGGTTACTTCAGAAGTACCCGAACTACTGTATATTATTACTGAAATACTAACTAACGAGAAGCTACTTAATTTATTGCTGTATATCATTGATCACTTAGTGGGCCGCTGTATCGTTTTGTTATTATGTCGCTATAGTTTTTCTTGTTCTTTGTTCATTCTTCTTATTATTGTTGTTAAGAGAAATTCGCTTTTCTATTTAATTACTTCCCCGATTGCTTTGAAATTTTCAGTGCCTAAAAATTTAATTTTTTGCTAGAAGGCTATTACTTTCATTCATTTCAAAATTTTATCAGGTCTATGGGATTTGGTTTTTGTTTGCTACGACCTAACCGAATTTTCGCGCACCTTGCGGCTGTTCCGCGAACGCATTTCATTTTTTTTCGCATGTCAAATACACATTTTTAACGAAACATACCCGTTCAACTTTTTGTTGTAGAAGAACTTGCAATTTTGGATAATTACTTTGTATATTCGCCTCATACCGTATCTTATGCTTATTAAAAGCAGAAAAAAAAAAACATATTTTTTTAATAGCTGTGTTCATGAATAATAAATCCAATTGTTTGTGTTTTTAATTTCAGCTAGCGGAAAAAATTAAAAGTTTCGATGAACGTGTAGCTATCTTGAAGAAAAAGGTGAGAATACGTTTGTTAGTCGTGAATATATTGTTTTCTGTATTCTCAATATTATTCGATCATTTTAGCTCGACGATCATCACAACGAGTCCAAGAAAGAAATAGATTTGTTGGAACAGCAAATAGAAGAGGTAAGTTTTAAGTTATTAATTTGTGACTATTGAGATTTCAATACCTTGATCTAGATCAGAAAGTAATTCATATTCGTAACTGCACAACTCAATAATTAATAAACGACAGTAAGGGTGAGCGCATCTCACGTATCGGAAACTTATGAGAGGATAAAATAATAAAAGTTGTACGTACATAGTCCATGAAGTCTTGAATTTTTTTTAAATTGAAAGGTATATTGAGAACTGACTTCATAACAAAATTGAAATTGTAAAGGGACTTTATGGACACCCTGTTTATCCTTTTCAGAGCCTAAAATGCTTCTATTTCAGAAAAATTACTCAGGCTCAGAATTTTAAATTAGTATTCTTTAATGCATTTTTGTTATGTCTAGCTTGAAGTGGAAGATATGGAATCAAAACAGAGAGTGAAAACGCTTGAAGGATCTGTAGTAGTGGTCAGTTTATTAGGTCAAATCAAGATTATTTTTTTAACCAGTAAATAAAAAATAAAAATTATAATCACACACAGTTTTACTGGGGAAGGGAAATCACGGGGGACTAAAACTGGTCATCGGGCTACGACACCCAAGTTTCAAATACCTAATTTAAAAGATTGAAATTTTAGAGTTTAGAAATCTGCTGTTTGTGACAGTGTTTGCCGTATACGGATTATTCAGGTAACATCGCTTACTAGAGCTACCATGTTTCCCCGAAAATAAGACCTAGCCCGAATTCTAAAAATCAGAGATTACCTTAATAAAGAGTCTTAAAACCAAATATTTGGATGGGGAATTTCTCAATTGAATTGAATTAATTGAAGGAAGTGCTGTTTCGAAGATTATTTTTTTGCTTTTAACTCAATTGTTGTACTATTGTTAATTTTTTATATTTTATTTCAAAGCTCGGAAATGAAGCGAGATCTTCGGAAATTGCATCAGTAAAGGTATATTTAGGACTTATTTGTTGTATATTATTTAGTTTAAAAAATAATCAAGTATATGTTGAATAATATTTTTTTCATTTAATAGAAGAAAAATGAAAATACGAGTTTGAAGGACAAAAGAGACAGCTTGGAAAGAAAAAGTAAAGAAGTATGTTCAAGTTTTGTGAAAATTATTGTGTGATAACACTATTTATTTAGTCGGTCATCTAACCAGGTTATAATTTAAAGCGAGCGTTTCCAAAGTTGATTGTCCGGGCCAAAATTAGAAGGGGAAATATATTCGCGGGTCGGGAGAGGTAAGCGCCAACAAGGTACAATTAAGATGTATGTATAATTGAACTGTTACAAATATACATGTGCTTAAACTGTGATAATGCCGTAATTGGCGGAATCTAAAACGAAAATGTAAAAACACAAATTGGTAAACTATTTTAATCAAGTTCGGCGGGCAATATTAAACCGTTAAGTGGGCCGTAATTGGCCCCAATGGCCGCGGTTTGGGAACCACTGATTTGAAGTGACAAATCCAATCAAAAAAATTAGAATATTTACATATTCATTATTTTTAACATTTTTAAACGATACACGAAAAATGTATTGGAGTATTAGTAATTTTTAATTCAATGCTAATTATCAGTATCTATTTTTTACACAAACAATTTTGAAATTTCTGACATTTTTATTATAGCTTCCAAAACTCATTGATGAAAGCATCTCCCGATCAGACGAACAAATCGAAGTTCTAAGAGAAATAGAGAGTAAGTTTTAACTTGACAGAAAACTCATTGCTGTCATGAATTGGGCCCTAAAGATAATAAATTGGACTCATGCATAGTAGGATGTTTGACGCAAAAGGAATTGAAATCACTCGAATGTACCAGATTAAACTAAATTGAAACCCTTATATATTCGGGTTATTTCATGACCAGTGGTTGCTTGCAGCAGCGGCTACTTGTTGGGAGTTAACGTGCGAGGACCATATATATTTATACACAATCCTATTTACAAAATTTGTACTTTCATCCGTCTAGGCAACCTTGAAGAGGCGATAGCTGAATACAATAAGACCAAACTAGAATATGATTCACTGATGGCTGAGTTCAACGAAATATGATGATACCAGATACAGAAACCAAGCAGCAAATTTAATGAGGTTAAAATAATAAAAACTCAAATCTACAGTATTCGATAAAAATATTCGATTTTGCCCACCTCCAGTTATTTGGTTTGTATGCTAATGTATACATGAGAAAGATATGCTATTTGCAAGAGAATAGTCCAAATTGTTTTTGTTTTTTTATCACATGTGAGTGACTTATTGTCCAAGGTTCAGCACAAAATCATATTTTAAAAAGTGCTTTGTATTTTTTGTAAATAACATGAATAAACTTGCTATTTCGTGGAAAGAGATTATGTTATTCATATTTATCTTTATAAAACTATCTCGTTCAAGCAAGCAAACAAGGAGAAAGGACTTGCAATTCAGTACACAGTACCCTAGTACATCTCATGAAGACAATACTTGATATTCCTCTGCTTGTATATCTATTGCGCCTGCATTATTTCGTCGTGAAATGAAACTCATATACCTGTACGAGAATATCCCACAACAAATTTTTAGTGTTACATTATCTGTTTAAATAATCCAGTAATGTCATTTCACATCGTCTAAATCGAGGTTTCCCAAACTTATCGTTCATAATTAATCTTCAAACAGTGATTTGTAAATATTTTTCTTTAAGTAAGACGACCAAGTTGAGTTCACGAGTTGTTGCAGTATTCGCGCGTGCATGAAACATCAACTTCTGATCCGTGTGAAATGATTGTGATTCAATGGCCATCCGTTCGGTTTTTTAACTTTCTGAAAATATGTGCGGCCCGCCAAGACTTGCAATTCTTCATTTTGACCCGCAAGCGACAATAGGTTGCCGACCCCTGGTTTAATGTACTCTTTGCCACATGCGCTCAACATGATGAATTGAATGATTTACAGGTAAGATGCGACCGTGAATTTTAGTTTTTAGTGACTTTATTCTCTTGAATAAGATGCACTCGTGGTGAAGTGTTTTTTCCGCTTACATGAGTGTGGGAGTATGGGCACAAAACGTTAGTTACAGCACATGATATAAAACTTTCTCTAGGTTTTGCTTATTTTTCTGATCTTTCTGTCTTCACCTTGTGGGTTCTTTATGTTTTTTGTTCTCGTTCAGTGTTGTAGAAAATCGAATTAAAATTGTATTGTATGATGTATTATCATAACATAACAAACCACTTCATAGTTTTCAAACATCATTCCATAATTCTGGACGATACCTGTACAAAAACAAAGTCGACTTACATGCTTATTAGTTTTGCAGCTGAAATATAAGCAGTGACGAAAGGGAAAAGCGTAATAACCACAACGCACCTAATTCGTGAAAATGCATTACATTTACAACACGTTCGCAGATGATTCCCCCGGTTTGTGATTTTTTTTCACTAAAAACGGTATATTTGCATGAAGTTCGTGGGCACGTAACAATTGAAATTCATCCAGCAGCCCAGACACTTTAAATCCTCGTTCCACTGCTTATCTTCCTAGCCTCGACTCACTGCCATGTCCCCTTTACCGTCCCATCCTCGACCCAATGTCCCATCTCCTCCAACCTCCCTATCCTCGACCCACCGTATTATATCTCTCAACCTCCCCATCCTCGACCCACTTTCCTAACTCTCTCAAGCTTTCTACCCTCGACCCACTGCCCTATCTTCCCAATCTTCATATTCTCGACCCAATGTCCTATATACCTCAATCATTCTATCTCCGACCCTATTCCCTCAACCTTCATATCCTCGACCCACTGCCCTATGTCCCCAACCTGCCTATTCTCGACCTACTGTTTTACTGCTCCAACCTTTCTATCTCCCTCAACCTTTATATCCCTGACCCACTGCCCGCAACCACTCTGTCCTGACCCGCTGTCATATCTCTCTCAGCCTCCACATCCCCGACCCACGGTGCTATCTTCATCAGCCTTTCTATTCTGTACCCACTGTCCACAACCTTTCTCCCACTGCCCTATCTCTCTCAGCACCCACCGCACTACACTACTCCATAGCTAAGCTAACGGTTTTTTTTTTACGGATCAGAATTTTCCCAGTTTCGGATCAGTGTCTAAAAAACACGTCGTATCCGAGTATTATCGGTGCAACGCTTCATACGCATGCCACTGCGTAAGCAGCAGTCATACAATCAGGGAGGCTTCGGTCTTAGTTGCGCCATAGCACGGCACAGACTTCCACCCCGGGGTTCGGTACATGCTGTATATCACAGCACAACGTTTTCTCGGGGCTTCTGTCTATACCATGCAGGGCAGAGCACAACTTCCGCCACCCCGGCTTCCGTATCTGCCATCCATCACGCCGCAAAAACTTCGGCCCTGAGCTTATGTACATACTATGTGCCAAATAGCATGACGTTTTCCCATGGCTTCCGTCAATGCCATGCATAGGATAGCTCCACTTCCCCCGGCCCGGTTTCCGTACACACCGTGTGAAAACGTGTAACACGCAAACAGCATGACGTTCACCGTGAAGTTTCTAATTCATCATTTCCGTGTAAATTTGAGGATGGTATTGACAGATTTAAACTTCCTTTTATGGTGAATGTAGGTAGGGCGACCTTTATGGGTGGTAAAGTTATTTTCAAGTACCGTGTCACATATTCAGATACCCACTTAGGATTGCTTTCCAATTTGCTGGAAAGCCAAGAAACTGTATGTAGAAATCATGTAAATCTCCAAAAACTATCTGATAAACCCAAACCAATCGCATCTACCACCATTCCGTATGTCCAACGACTAAGTGAAAAAAATTCGAAGAATTTTGGAAGACGTTAAAATCAAAGTAAGTTTTAAACTCCAAAACACCATCGGCCAATTGCTCTCCAACGTCAAAGACCGCCCATGCCCTAAACAAAAAAAACGGAGTTGTATATGCAATCCCATGCAGCGACAGTTCTTCAGTTTACATTGGAGATACCAAAAGAAGCCTGGAAACTCGCAGCAAGGAACATCTACGAGATATTAAATAAAAGAAATTGACAAGTCGGCCCTTTCGAAACACGCCCTTTCTAATAACCATAGCATCGACCGGGAAAACAGCAGGATACTAGAAAAAGAAACTCAATACAGGAGAAGACTATTTCTCGAACCTTATCACATAAATAAAGAGAAGAATTCGATGAATGACAAAGAAACCACACTTTTCCCGCCTGTGTATAAATCATTGTTTAAATAGTCCCCTTTTTGTTTGAACTTGCGCTAATTTGTTTATTTATATATATTATCTTATCATCATCCTTTTAGATCAGAGTTGACGCCATGATATTTTTTTCCTATTTTTCTTTTTCTTACTCTATATATATCCACTTGTGTCCTTTCCATATCATGCCCTGATGAAGTTTTTCCGTATAGAAATTCGAAACGTCGGCAAATTACATCGTTTTGCTAACACCGGTTGTGCTTCACTTATTATCAACATGTATGTCCGTATGTTTGTATTCCATCGTAATTCGAAATTCTGCAAAATGATCTATTGTTTTTGGATTATATTATCATCGGTTGGGGCCAGGTATTTGTTTTGTATGTCCAGTTTTGATTTTTGTTCCTATTATATTCTTCTTTAGAAGGACGAATCGTTTAGTTACTGTAGTCTAGTGGGGGCCATCATAACTGTTATAAAATATTTGCTCTTTATTGATTTTTATGGGGGTACGTAGTATGTTGCTAACCAGGTTTACGATTTTTCCAATATAATATTCAGTTTTGTTGCAGTGTAGGATAAGATGCTTCGTGTTGTCCGTTGGTGTTTTGCACAATTTGCAATTCAGAATTTTTAACACGCCGGTTTGGTAGTATCTTAAAGGTGGGTATAACGCAAACATTTTTGTGAAAAATTTGATTCTATATATTTTTTCAAGATTTTTAACGTTTACCGCTTGCATAAAGTGGACTTAGTTTTCTGCTTATGAATTTTTGAAAAACGCTTCGAAAACGAAACGAAAATCGACCCAGGTTTGGAAACGGCCTTTGATGACGTAGTAGTGAGAACTCATTCCAGAAATTAGCTCCCTCGCCATTGGCGAGTAAGGTGTACAACCTCTGTTTTTGGCGTTTAAATCTAATTTCTCATCGCGTAGTTTCATAAAGATTGAAACTATAATGTATTGTTAAGCATAAATGCTAATGCATAAGAAGTTCTGAATGTGAGGGATCAAGCCACGGTGTTTTATGTAATGAATAAACCACTTTATTTCGTTCATCGACTGTTTGATAAAATATTTAGTCAAAGCATGATGATACCCAGTCCCACTTTTGTATGAACCAAATACCAATCGCCAATTTGTACATTTACCAAATGCTGAAAAGAGTGATAGTCTACTACCGGTACCCGATAAACGTAGAATCCCAATAATGGTTCAGTTTCTTTTCTATTCATTTCACATTATTATGCAACAAAACACTGTTGTTTTAAGGCTGAAACAATCCTTCGACTTAGAGGTCTTCTTTTAGTTTCATGGAGAGACATCAGAAAAGGTTACCTGCGAAAATTATATCCATAGTTTTCTCTTCAAGACAGATCCATTCCTATGAAATCTGCTCTGTAACCACCAACTACACATTCCATACGTTACGGTAGTGTTTGCGCATATACCGGTATAGTCAAATAGTTTATAAATACCGAAAATATAATAAAAAGACTAGTTATAGGATCATTTGAGCAGAGTAAACTCACATTAAATTTAAAATCTGGATCATTTGAGACAAAAAATGGCCTGGTATGCGCTTTTTCACTAGAAAATATATTGCAGCAAAAGGTCCGGCACAGAACCTGAGTACGTCTTGACCTCGATTAGTTGAGTTTACTGCAATTTCTCATAATGCAATAATATTATTCAAAGATATTGGTATTGATTTAAATCACAAAAGCTTCCTCCAAATACGCCGCCCAATAGAACTTGCACACGGTTCAAAATGAGTACACAGAAAGCTATAATTGTCTTTGACATAATGCAAAGTTTCGCCGACGAGTTCTCACCACCACGTTATCAACGGGACATACTAATTTGGGTTCGATTTCGGCAGGGTCGACTTTTAAAAACTTGAGTCTCGCAAACGAAGTCCATTTTATGCAAACGGTAAACGCCAAAAATCTTAATAAATTATATAGAACCAAATTTGCTACAAAATGTTTGCGTGATAACCCACCTGAACATTCCCCGCATGCGATCGCCAAAAATATATCCATTACGGACAATACGGTATGATAATACTCGTTCCGCATTTGTGAACTTGTTTCTCAAGTTATTGTTGAAGAGATGAACCTCTTCCCAGTTTATATGTGGTATCTGTTGGGCTTCATTTGATCCCTTTCTCTTAAGCTTCTGATAGAGGTCTTTGTGTCTTGCTGTGATCCACCCAATCATCACGTGTGAGATCTATTTTACGGAAGAGGTCTAGCATTTGCCTCCATGTTGCGGGGTTATAGAACTATGTGGCCTCGAGTTGCTGTAGAGGCTTTTATTTATTTCCTTGATTTTTGACCCAAGTGAGTATAGGCCTTCTATATGCCAAAATTAATTCACCTCTCACGAAAGCTTTCAATCGTTCGACCTGGCAGGCCTCCACCTTTGATTTGACATCAACCATTCCGATATCCCCTCTCGCCACTGCAAGTTGAAAGGCGTTTCCTACTTATTGCCTCTATTGCGGGGTACCATATAACTTTATGGAGTACGCTTTCAATAGATTTGATATTCCTTGAGGAGATGGTCTTGGTCCGCGCGTGGAATGTGATGATCGACATTATTAAGAGTTGATTGCGGTTAGTTTGCCATACCAAGTCAGATGTATTGGTTTCAATGAATTTAAGGTACGGGTTAGTAATCAAATTATATCTTTCCACATTTTTTCCAATGGTTTAAGGCCTAAATGTATTCCAAGTATTTTACAGTCCGGTTTTATATATTGGTGGTTTGCAGATTTTGATATCGAGTTGAAAGCTCTTTTGGTGATGCATAGTATTTCCGTTTTTTCTTTATTGATTTGTTGTCCGGCTGCTTTTTTGAAATTTTCTAACTCTCCAAAGATTTTTGAGATGGATATTTGGTTCCTAACCGCAAAAGTAATGTCGTCAGCATATTGATCTATATTATTATTCGTATGCGCCAAGTTTTATTCCTTTTATTTGCGAGTTTGCCTGGATCGATCTTGCGAGTGGTTCGACCGTTGGGCTATATGACAGCATACTTAAGGGACATCCCTGTCGTATGCCGCGTCGAATAGTTATTGGGTTAGTTAGACGGCCATTCATATCTATACGGCTATATATGTCCGTATACATATTTTTTATGGTGTTAAATGTCTTGCATCCCAGTCATACGTGTTGCAAGATCTTGAATACGAAGCTGTGACTCACATTATCGAAGGCTTTAAGATTTTCTATCATTACCAGAGCACCAGGAGTGTTATTTTTTTGAGAGTGTCTGAAAATGGCGTCTACGTTATAATGAATGTCAACCATGTTTCTTGTGTTGATTGAACATTTTTGGGAGGGGCTTATAATTTGGTCCATACCAGGTTCCAGACGATTTATGATGATTTTTGATAGAATTTTGTAGTCTGTATTTAAGGTTGTGATAGGGCGCCAGTTTTCTAGATTTGATTAATCATTCTTTTTATATAAAAGTTTTAGTTTGGCGATTGAGGCAGATTTTGGTAGGGGGCCGAAAGATAAGATATTGTTTATGACTTGAGTAAATTGGATCTGTATGGTGTCCCAAAAAGTAACGTAGAACTCCTTTCCTAGGCCGTCCATCCCCGGAAATCGGTTGTTAAACATCTGCTTGATAGCATGCAGAATCTCGGTACTATTCACGTGTTGTTCTCTATTCCCCACAAATTTGCGTAGAAGTCTTCTACTAGCTTTATGATCTCTTCCTTTTTGGTGGTTGTCCGGTTGTTAGGTGCCCTCAGTTCAGTTATGGTGGTTTCTTTAGCTCTCATTTTTATTCTGGCCTAAAAATTTCTCGTTGGCTTTTCGTTCTCCTCAAGCATTTCCATATTTGCCTTCAGGATGTTCAAGTTGTTTCGTTCTTCATATAAAGTTTTTAGCTGTGATTTTAGGTTTTCTATTTTTTAAAGCGTTCTCTTTTTTCCCTTCATTTATCGGTTTATCCATTTTTTCCGTAATTGAGCCAGATGTTTCGTTTATCATTTGCAGCGTTTTTGGAGTAAGCCATCGTAACTTTCTTGATTCTATTGTTTGCATGGTCCCACCCGAATTGTAGTGATTCAAAGTTTTCAATTTCATTCAGGGTGGATTTCCAAGTGTTTTTAACCACTTTGACGTACGTTTGATCGTTATACAACCGTACGTTATTTCGCCACATGCTTTTTCCCACCGGATTTTTTGGGTTTGTTTGAGTATTATCTGGGGGCACAACAATTGATCTGACACTGTATTGGATACATTGTATGGGATATCTCTGAGACCATATGGTCCAAGTTTTTGGAGTTATATACGTTGTCGATACGTCTACCCTGCGATCCGGTAAGGTGCGTAAAAATTGTTTTTTTTTGGGGGGGGGGGGGTATTTCCTTCTATATGTGTCGAAAATGTTGTTTTCCTGGATGACTTTTTTATAATTTTTCCTGGCGGCCGAAGTTTAAAATTTCAGGGAATTAGAACATCAATTGGCTCAAGCACGAAGTAGAAATCGCCTACCACTAGTATGTCATATGAGTCTATGTAATGCTTTAAGGTTGCTACCAGTCTGTCGCAAAATTTCGTTTTTTCAGGTCCGTTTTGGGCTGGGGCATAAACGTTGAAAATTTTTATTGTTTGGCGGTCGATATTAATTTCTATGCTATCCAAGCGGTGTTGGATATGAATATTGTAGGTAGTCGGTAATATAGTGTTTTCGAACTTGGTCATGATATGGGTCCCTTGCATGAAATTATTATAGTATTTGTCCAATTTGTCCAGCGTATTCATATATCCTAGTGCTTCCGCCCATTGTGTAACCGACACCTTGTCTATTTTGTGAACCTCTTGCACGCTCAAGATATTAGGCCTCTCATGCCCGGTGTAATTTTTGAGCTCATTCATACGGCGTTGGACTTTTCCAAAGTGAGTGTCTTTTTCTTTGTAATTCAGTCGGTTTTTTCCGCCATGTTGTTGCCTACTGGGGCGTTTGTCTCGCTCGGCGTTGTTTCGTCCGAAACGGGCTGTTGCTCATTTTGTTATGTCTTAGTTCTCCTGTCCCTCGGGATTTTCCAGGTTGGTTTCTGGAGGTCTGGGTATTATTTTTCCCTCAGATTGCAGTTTTTCTGGATGTTACCAGTTTCTTCACAGTGCCTGCACACCGGGTCATTCTCACAATTCTACATGTATGCCACATATAGGGACGTACAATTTTCCTGGAAGGTCTTGCAACGTACGCCCTCTATGGTAACGTAATTCACATCGGAGCCCGATGGTTGTTCCTCACGGCACTTCGGATTTTTCCGCATCCGAGATTGTTCATTATGACGGAGGCTGTGGCAAAAATTGTTTCGGGCGGTATACTTCGGACGGATATCCTGATTGGCGCCTTGGTAGGCAAAGACACTTCTATGTTGGTGTTCTGCGCGCGGATGTTTCCACCCGTTTCACGCGGAAAGTCGCCTCGAACACTTGATTCCGGGTCGCCAATGCCTCAAACGACAGAATCCACATTCCTCTCTTCTCTTCATAGAGCGCTCTTATTTGTTCACAATACTTCCGGATGTTGGTGTCATTCTTTAAAATGTCCATCAGTTTTGCGAAGTCCAGCTCTCGTTCCGTCCTCAGGAATAGGGTCCTTGGTCAGGTGGTAATCCGAGGTGCTGAGGAGGCAGCAGCAGAATATGCCATGCTTCCTTAATAATCCAAGCTTGCTTAAAAACTTTTCTAACCCTCCACTTATTTTTCAAAAAACTTTCAAAATAATCTGCTATGAGGCTAACGAAGAGGCCCTATGCGATAACGCGGCGGGAGGCCTCCCGCAAACTAGACTGACTGGAACGAGGTTTCGGCGCCCAAGACAACTCCAGACGTAAGGGCGCGGGGACAACTTACTAATGGTGTCTTACCCACGTTTCGATCGTCATTCCTTACTTGTTTGCTCCCAGGCTTTATACGGCTCGAGTATGCCAATTAGATGATTGAAGCGTTGGTCGCCAAAACATGCCTATAAGGCGGACGGCATTCATGTTAATTCAATACTGTTAATTCTGCAAGTGTCTCCGGCTTGGATCTGATGTAAGGCATCAAATTTGCTTTATGTTCAAGTTACATTATATTTTAATTTTTCTAGCCACAGTACCATTGTAATTAATCTATTTGAATTTTTGTAACAGGCCCACGATCTGAATTAAAATAAGAAAGAATCCTGTCAGGCGTTAACAGGTATTTTCTATGATGTCATCGACTAGCTTGCACAAGCAACTTCTATTACACCAGAACTCATACTTATGATTAGCCGTGACAAAATTATATTACTCGTTACAAATAGTAATATGGAAAATTTCGGCAAAAACATTCCTTAATTTTTTCAACCCGCATATCAACTTATACCTAAATAAAGTTATACTGATTAAACCCAAAACAGTTTCTATGAGTTTCACGTATCCTATTTGCAAAGTCGTGATAATATTTTAAAAAAATGTTGTGAATGACATCTTTATTGCATTTCAAAAATCGGTTGAGTGGAATCTATCTACTACCAAGGAATTTCATAGGGATTAAAGTTTGTGACCAAATAAAATCAGCATTAAACCATTCACGATATCGAACGTAAAATTTGCATTTTCACAGAACGTAATAAATTGACAAAACTGGACGAACTCCTGACAAAGCTTTTTAAAAAAAATTCTGGACAAATATTATCTTGCGCATTTTTTACTAATGATTAGTAACATTTAAATTTACCGAATGAATATACAACAGATGATATTTGATTATACTATATTCAGAAAATGATGTTCGTTTTAATAAAAATACAGGGTGATCGCTAGAAAAAGAGAACATTTGTCAAACGGTTATTTGTTTTTACAAAGTTTTTTTAAAGGTGTATGTTATATTACAATCATAGATACTCAAAATGCTATCCGTGCACTTCAGAGCTGTGTCATAGACTACAAGTCAAAGCTCGTGTGACTTTTCGAAGGTTAACTTGTGGAATATTGTTCCAAGCCTTTACCAAGTTCGTTTTCAAATCATCATTTGTAAAAATGAATAGCTGTTTGACAAACTTTCTGTTTTTCTAGCGATCACCCTGTAGTTTGACCCAAAGAAGTATATTTAGACACTGCTTGATTCCGTTGTGCTTCAATCATCATCACTTGCACTATCCATTTCTTCCATTTCCTTCACAAGCGCCTCTTGTTTAGCAATCCAGGATTGAAGTTCCGCTGATTAAAGAAAATAAATAACTCAGTATATTCTATTCAAGTGCAAGAAGACAATAAAAAATTAAGCCCAAACGTTCCGCGATTAAAAAAAAAGGGGGGGAAAAAGATCAATTCCAATAAGTGTGTGTTAATAAACTAATTTCTGTGTATCATTAATTTTTAGAGGCATTCTATAGTGTAGGCCAAAGGGTGTGCGTCCTGGGGCCCGCGGGCCAAATGCGGCCCCCAAGTGAAAAAAATTCCGTTTACTGAGAAGTGATAATTTTGGATGGTGCGCGACCTGCGAAACTGTTTTTAACTCAGCTTAAATTGGTCCGTGCGAGTAATTCCATTCATTATGCGTTGCAAAGTCTATATACTATATTCCTAAAAACTAATCCGATTTTAAAGAACAAATGATCAATTAGGCTATTTGTAAAATTAAAATCTCTTAATTCCAAGTCCGCCAATACCGCGAGTAAAATTAATGTAATTCTTTTATATGTAATATTGAACACCTACTTTTACTTTCTTCATACTTACCCCCCTTTTCCTTAATATCAAGTTCTCGAACACCATTTTGTCTCTTTATCATGTTGTAATGTAGGTCCAACTGAAATCAAAACGGATAAGATATTTAATGTTTGCAATTTGGTTGCCGGGAAAACACTGAATTTTTTTAAAATTGAATATATAGTACACCTAGGAATACTCAAGAACGCATCGTTGAATCAGAATGGAAAAAAAGTTTCATAAAAAGTCTGGCGATCCGTAGTATGTGAACCAAAATGGCGGACACCTGAACATAGTATCTTCACCAGGTTGGGTTTAGGCCATAATTTTTTTCCAATTTTCTTCATTTATTTCTATTGCGGACTAGCCAAGGGACACCCGTAATATTTGTACCTAAAATTATGGCCTAACCCTAACCTGGTACACATACTTACTTTCCGCCATCTTGTTTCACATACTACGGGAGTACCAAAAGTCTTGGCGAAACACGAACACATGAGTTGGTAATAAACGGAAAGTGTAATGAAGTGTATTGTAGCCATATGTATTGTAAATGAAGTAAAAATACTTATAATTAAATATATTTGGTGTTAAAACACAACAAACCTGGTTAAGATATATTGAGAACTGACTTCATAACAAAATTAAAATAGTAGAGGGAGTTTATGGACACCATGTATTATAGCTTCTACTCCTCTTATCCCCGACCATATCCCCTCCTATCTCAGAATTGTCGTCAATGTATGGACCAGAGAAATATTTCTCTGTATTTATTAAAATTGGCAAAGTTACTTTATAAGGGTTTCTATGCAAATCAGATGAGCCAATAACGGGTACGAAAAATAAAATGAAATTTCAAGGAATATTATTTGAATTTTTTATAGCGGATGATTAAGAATTTGAGCGTTCCACCTCGTATACCAGACCTGGTCAAAGTACGGCCCGCGAGCCAAATTTGGACGTTGGTTAATTCAATCTGACCCGCCTGATGCTGCCACAACCAAACTGAAATCAAAATTTGATGTTTTAGCTAAAAATACCTCAAAAATGGTTTGTTTAGATTGCGGTTAAATTTAGTTTTGGCATGAGTCCGGATTTTGTCAAAAAAAAATGAGTTTCGGATTTCAAAAAAAGCTCAAAAACTCTCTTTTCGTGTTCGATAAACTCGGAGCGGGACAACATATCTAAACTATTCAATATTACCCAATTTGATAACTGGATGATGAGAATTCAAAATTTTATCTCAAACCTCTTTCACTTCTCCTTCCAAGAACATCATCTCCTCCTCCAATAAAGTATTCTGGTCTTCGGTCTATATTAATATAAAGATATAAAATTCAAATGGCTGAAAAACTAAATATACAATTTTGTACTAATGTTTTCTAAGAATTGTGTTTAACTTACAAATTTTTCAAGTATTGCAAGTTTTTCCATGGAAGTTACTTTGTCCTTGATCTACAAAAGTAAAAAAAACAAATAAGATACAAATCGAAAAGATGAAAGTAAGTTAAAAAAAATTCTTCACCATTTTCACTGTTTGTTCTAAAGTATCCACTCTATTTTTCCACTTCTTCACTTGCTTTTCGAGCTGTTAATTTGAAAAAATAAATCTAATAACTACTGGAAAACAAGGAAGTGCAAAAAATTTTCAACAAAATAAAGGGGTGATCCATCAAAAATGTAAACTTCTCAAATTACTTCTATCAAAATGAAATAAGTTTCCACTTGAACTTCCGTTTGTGTATAAATGATTGCACTCAAAAGTTGCAGTAATATGGACGTTTGCTTATGTCTGCTATATGCTGTCTATGATAGGTTCTAAAAAACACGAGTTGTGTTTTATTTTTATATTTTGGCTGGCTGGTGTTGGGGCCAACATATATATATTTGTGTTGCGTGATGAATCAACATGCTTGTCCATGGGAGGGGATGGGACATCCCACATTTGTACTTCCCATGGGACATGTGGGACACGAAAAAACGTTTGATTCACGGGGAAAAGATGGTAAAACATTTTGCCATGGACTTCGTGTCCATACATTTGAGCATAGCTCTCTGGCTAGTTATAAAGAGCAAAATATATTCACCATTAGCAATATACTTGGTGAAAGGGATGATGGACACATATTATAGTTATGAATTTAAAGTCAACAAATTTTGTTATTTTGCAAGAGTATACTACCATATACAAGTTTCTATTTAAATTAGATGATCTATACAGCAAATATTACTACTGTAGGCTACTGGATAGGGGTGTTCCTTTACAAGAAATAGAGATGAATTCAAATAGGTAAATTGAAGATGCAAATTTTTTAACTTGCCTCATCCTTGTCTCTTTTCAGTACAATTATCCTTCTTCCTAAATCGGGCCTCTGATAAGTAAGCTAAAAAATTCAAATAAACAATCGCGCTATAAAAAGTACACCTATGTCTGGTTTTGCATGCTGACCTATTTACAAAATAAAAAGGAAATAAGTATTATTGAGATTCGCGGCAATAATTTAATATCCTCTACAGCTTTGTAATTTTTGGCTTTTTTTTATCAAATTACGATCCCATAGACATTTTGAATACAACCCCGGAATTCAATACGTGACGTAGTGATATTATAATACGGTTTCATTGTGCATTTCGTAAATTGAGTTGCCAGAAAATTGCTGATTGGCGAAAAACATTTTTGAAATATTGGTCTTTACTGAAGAATCCGATCAAGACACCATTAAAAAGCTGAACATTATTCCAAAATGATGGCGAACACGCTGAAAACGCTCAAATGACGTTGGCGCAAGAGCTTCATGCTTTCGTTGCACGCAATGAAAATGAAGAGGAACGAACGTTATGAATGTCGACCGGTGGTTGAGAAAGAAATGCTGTTATATGAGACAAGCAGGGTAAGGTCAGGAAACATGGAAGAGTTGTATGACGTACTAAAAATAATCAAATCCATATTAGTTGAGGCTGAGCATGCATTTTCAGGTTTGGATTTTTTGCCAACAGAATCAGAAATAGTCTTAACGATGGCACTCTCGTTGCTCTTGTGTTTTTGCGTCAGTTTTATAAGAAGTGAACGTGACTGCTTATAATATTTTGTGTGTGTGTGTTTAATTTTTTTTTTAATCCCGGGAAATCCCGAGCCCTTGTCAGAAATAGCAACCCTAATATAACCAGCGAATAGGGCTCTATCAATGAATTCTTACTTCTTCCGTCAGGGCAGCAATTATTTTGTTCAATTCTTGCAATTTTGGATGCACCTTAAAAATAAAAAAAATCACGAACTTTAATATATTATATATCTATTCATTCTGTTTTATTTAGTTAACAAGACTGTAGTTTGCAATATTTACAAATAGTAAACTTCTGGATTTTTCTCTGGTGTCAAAAATGTTCTAGACATGGTTTTGTACACTACCACTTTAAATGAACTAGATTTTCACTGATTTTTTTTATCTGTTTCGAAATTATTTAGTATTCAACTCAAATCTAGATCACGGGATGATTAATTGAGTATATAAGTCAAAAAAAAAACTACCAATAGAAGTCCGTAAGCAAGGTATAACAATATTTTATGTACTCATTTTAAAACGAGTTATTTCATATATAATTTTTAAGTAGTCTTGAAACGTTGAAAGTATTCATGTAAACCACTTACTATATTTCGAGTCGATTTTAATACCAATTTTAGGTGCTCCCTTAGTGTATGCACCAAGATGGCGCATAACCTGAACATAGTATTGTACCAGGTTAGGGCTACCAGTTTGTGCGTCATCTTGGTGCTTATACTACGAGAGCACCAAGATGGCGCACAACCTGAACATAGTATTGTATCAGGTTAGGGTTATCAGGTTGTGCGTCATTTTGGTGCTTATACTACGAGAGCACCAAGATGGCGCACAACCTGAACATAGTATTGTATCAGGTTAGGTTTATCAGGTTGTGCGTCATTTTGGTGCACATACTACGAGAGCGCCCAATTTTAAACCTAGTGTATAATTTTATGAAATATATCACCAATTTCTTAAAAGTCTAAATTAAACTTACAATTCCTCCCTGTGAATTTGTCGACAGTCGTCTAAAAATAAAGGAATTTTTCAACTGATGATAGTGCAATTTTCAATAATGCGAGCGGAGTAATCGTAAGGAAACATCCACATAAAAATTATACACAACAGGCCAGATCTTCTAAAGAAGGAGACTGTAGGGGATTAAGGGAGTTTGCACGTTTCACGCGCGATCCCGTTATTAGAATGTCATGATAATTAGCGAACCCGTTCTCGTTTTTTGTTTCAGAGGTTAGGCCAGGGGTGGGCGAATTACGGGCCGAATCCGGCTCACGGGAAGTGTTTCATCCGGCCGACTTGTGTCTGCTGGGATTACGTCTATAGCATTTATGGATATAAATTTATGTTGAAAATATTGGAGAAAATAACGTCATAATGATTCCGATTGTTACTTTGTGCTTCTTATTATTATATAAACGTTCGCTATTGGACTGAATTTGTAAATAAATTTTTTTTTTTTTCACGGTTTTTTATAATGAGTTTTGAGCCCAGTAATCAAGTCTATTACCTGTGACTGGCCCATTCAGAAAAGTAATTAACCACTCTGGGTTAGACGATTGCAGCAAATAGGTATGTAATATGTTAGCGTTATATTTCCGTTTCACAAACTGTGTATTAAATTTAAGTAAAGCTTCATTATGTCATCTTCATTAAAGTAGCTTAAGTATGACGACACAATTTAATAGGTACAGTTGTAGAGCTATATTCAGTAACCAATAATTTCTTTTAACCACTATTAAAAATACGAATGTACATATACGATGTAGAATAAAATTAGAATAGCATTTCAGGGTGGCGGGAGACGCCAATAAAACAGTAATTATTATCGAGCACCGACGCCTAAGGCGCCAACTTAGTTTGGCAGGATTTTCTAACATTAGGGTACCTGTTGTTGTGAATTCGATTCAGAAGAGAACCCATTCTTAAGGTTTTGAATTCCATTACCCAATGGAGCATAATCATAAATATTATTATTTTAATGTGTGAATGACCCTCTTTGCTAGTGTTACTAGTGGTACATAGTTTATTTATTATATTTCTTGAAAATAAGCTGAAACGCGTCGCGGATCAGTCGATACAATAACAGACTTACATAAGAGTAAATAAAGTCTTTGCTACGATAAATCACCGTCAGTAAAAATCGCTAAAATGACCTATTTTCATTAAATTCACTACGCTATTAATACAAAAGGGTAAAATAACAATAAAATTCATAGTTACATACTGCGTAACCCTAAATACTATCACATTTGGCAACATCGAACAGTTGGTGGCGCCCAAGTGCAATTAATATTTCGACGTGACTTCAAGTTTCCATCCGTGGTGTGTTCTATTTTCAACAGGCAACAAGTTTCGAAACATTTTAAAGTGGTTATCAAACGCCGTACAAGACGGGCGTACACAATTTTTTGACAAGGCGTGAAGGGCATTTACGTTCCATGTCATCCACGTATTTTCAATTTTTTTTTATTAAAACATACTTATTTGTAGTTTATTGTTAGCTATTTATTTTTGAAGTAGGATGCGAGACTTGATGAAATTATAAAAAGGGTCTCAGAAGTCTTGAAAAGTTGAATTGCTGAATTAAACCATCTCTTTAATTCTGTCGAACAAAACATTCCAACTGCAATCATGGCTTGAATTATTGTTAACAAAATCTATGAAATACCCCAACTCCATTCCAATACTCACTTTTCTGTTTCTTCATTTCCATATTTAGTTACTGTAGCTTCTTTAGCTTTAGCTTCTCGGAGAGAGATTTCCAATTTTCTCAGTTCTGCCTCTTTTAAATTGCATTTTTCCTCTGATGCTTTCGCTTTTGCTTCAACCTTTCAAATTGTAAAAAAAGGCATAAAAATATAGAAAAATTAAACTTGATTAAAACTGTCTAATTGAATAATTTAAGTAGTTAATAATTAAATTACAAAATTCTTTATTTGATATTTAAAACCAAATCCCATTGTGAACGTTTAGTAACAACCCTAAATTAACAAGCATATTGCCCCATACAGATTGCAATAACTACAAATATGCAGTACAGGAGTCACCAAACTGTGGCCCGCGGGTCGGTGCACTAATTTCACAAGTCACAACAAGTTTTGTACTGCTTACAGGCGGTTATGCATGACAGCAATGTTTTGCTAACAGCTAACCTTAGAATAGTTTTCTAGATCTGGACATCTTGTATATTTGTTTTGCTATGATGTTCTCAATCCATATTCTGCGATATAGAATTTGATATTCAAATCTTCAGAAATGTAGAATTTATATTGTTGAATAAATTGAATGGATTTCCCAACTTTTGTGAATTTATTGTATTGCATTTTGTCCGGCCCGTTTCAATACAGTTTGAGTCATACCTGGCCCGCGGCCAAAAAAGTTTGGTGACTCCTGATGCAGTGCATGTAGAATTGGTTAAAAACAGAAATATATGGCGCAAGGAGGGCCAGATTGAGTCAACGGGTCGGATTTGGCCCGCGGGTCGTAATTTGCCCATGTTAGCCATCGTGAATCTTTAGTATCTCTATGTTTGCTGTAGAAGCAGTAGCATCATGGTTCTTTAGCACTTTTCCTTAATATTATCATATGAATAACAATATTGTAGTGAGACGTGTGTTATTCGTTATATGGCAATAAAAACCTATCATTGTTCTGGATGAATTTGAACACTAAAATGTAAATAATGAAGAATAAAAAACAAACTTAGAAAATTATTCTTTCAATTTTTTTTGCAATCTATTGCGGGACTTTATCAAAGCGTGACTGACAGTTTGTATTTTGCAAAGCTGTTTCGTCGCGTTTCTAACTTTTCACTGTATAATTTCACATATCATTTTTTGAAGTTTTATCATTCATTCCACGTTCACATTTATTTTTATGAATAAGTCTTGTTACCTGGAATAATCTGTCATATTTACTGATGTGTTCGGTAATGTAATGTCAGGAGATCTACGGTAATTTTCATCAAGTTTCGAATGTCTGAATTTCGAGAGCAAATTCACTTGCTAGCGTCGGTAAATATTACTACGGATTGTCGGTGATAATCACCGGAAAAAAACTTGTAACAAATACTATTGATATCCTGTGAAGTTCACAAGTGATTTACGACGATTTTACCAAAAGTTCTTGTAATATTTCCCTTCAAAATTTCACAACTGCATTCCAGTAATATAGGATAGGATTTACATATTTATCCCGGGGGAGAGGAAAGCCGATAAGACGGCTTAACCATATGACGAGCCCATGTCGGGTATAGAATCAGTTAAGTTGTTTGTTTTTTGGGAAGCCGTGACCGACCAGCTGTTACACAACCACCCTACGACGGACCCACGAAGGGTAATCAGAGATGCAGGGGCGAGCGTATGCCTAACGCTTAACACGATGAGCCACACCGCCGCGCCTGTACTGCCGGTAAAAATTTCTTAGAATGTAGCAATGAGTAAGCTGCAGTATCATAACAACAAGCATCATACAAACCTCTCGCAGCGAATTTTTCTTTTCTTCCAATTGAGTTTGCCAATCGTTTATTTCTCCATCTTTACTTTCAATTTTATCAGTAAACTCTTGGAGCTTTCTTCTAATTGTATCCATGTTAATTCCAGCTATTTTTTTTACGTTGTAGTTAATTGCCACTATCAAATATAAAAAAAATGTTCAATTTTAAGCGTGTTTCAATATAATATTTTACGCTCTGCTGTGAATATGTTATTATACATTATATGAAGGTCCGATAAATTTCTATTATTACTTATCGATCTTAAGATCGGTAAGTATATTGATAGGTATTTGTCTGTATGTCTGTCTGTCTGTCTGTGTGTCTGTGTGTGTGTCTGTTAGATGCATGCGATATCTCACGAAAGCGAGATTGAATCTGCTCCAGATTTTGCATGTGCATTCATCTTATCTCGGACCAGAAGCCTATTGATTTTGGGCGAATTATGTCGTATAATTAGCGAGTTATCAATCAATTATTGATATAGTGATCTAGATTTTTGTAAAGCGAGAGAATTTTGAAACCCGCCGAGTGTGTGTGTGCGATGCGCAGTGCGCAAGTTACAAGAGCGGATGAATCGAAACTGCAGTTTCTGTTTTGGGGGATCCCCTAACTATCGATCGATAAGTCTTCGGTTTCCAACCGATATTCTCGTATTTATTAGTTGAGGTTATGCGAGACAAACTCCCTTCCCTGTGTCCTATGCTTATGCACTAGCGTAATCGTATGCATATAATACGAGGTTGTTGTAGCAAGAATAAAGATAGCGCGGAGCTAGTTCACTAAACGCCGTCAAGTACTTCTAGATCTCGTGGAATAACCATTTTCTCACATGTCATTTCTAACCCCCACCTGACTACGTCATCCAAAAGTTAGAAGTACTTACCGGTATACTACCGTAATTCTAAAATCTTGCTGCACAATACCGCATATTCTGTAACCTTTCCTCTGACAAAAATTAAACAAGCTGTTTGTCACGAATCAGACTTAAAACCTCCTCTTGCCCACTATACGAATGCGTGATGTTTTTGTCCTGTGAAAACCATAAAGCCTTGACACTTTGTTATGGTCTTGCGTAGAAGCAAAATCAACTTTCTACACAGCAATATAATAATGAACCTCATATGACATTTAGAAAAATAATTCAATAAATCTGGGCGGCGCGCGATAACCAACAATTCAAGCAAGTCCGATAAGATTTTATTTTTAAGTTCATTTCATTTGCTATCGAACAATATGAGAGTGAGCCTTTCACGACACCAGTAAGTTAAAAAACGAGCGAGTTGTTTGAGCGCATTCAGTATTGGGTGCTGTAGGGACAATAATATCAAGTTGATTGAGTTTCGGTAATTCGGGCAAAACTAGTATTATTAGCTGTAAATCGGGTTCAACTCAGATTCGTTGAATTAGGACAAAACCAGTTGGTCATAACAATTCTCAGTTGTTGGGCGTCATTCGCGTCGCAGACCATAGCCCGAGAACAAAACATATTGTTTTAATCGGACAATATAGACTAAAGCTCATGCCGTGCTTGAAAGTACATTAAGTTAGGGACTCAAATTAATATACCGGTATATAAGCACGTCATGGTTTGTATTAAAAAAATAAGAGCCGAGAGTCAAGACAGAAATTAACAGTATTTATCCGCAAGATACTGTAGAATTGTGTCGATCAAGACAATAAAATATCAATTGTGTGCTGGTGAATTCTGATATCTTTGCATTCGTTGTTGGGAGGGGAGATCAGGCAATCTCAGAAAGAGGGTGCAATAGAAATCAAGCTAAGGATCGAACCGCTTCCATCTGCCTTCACTACACGACAACAATAATATAATTATAAAGGCTACAGCGTCTTGCAAAAAAGTGAGTTTATATAAGCGCTTTCTTGTCCAAATATTTGAAGTACTCCGCAATGCTTCACGATTATAGTTCTTCTTATGATTCATATAAGCTTTCACACGATAACTGAGACAGACAATATAATGACAAGTTGATGAGTCCGCAATACTATAGCACTACACTGAAATGTTAATGACAGGCAGTTTATGTGCCAGCTGAATTACATCAATTAATCATTTAGAGAAGGGATGTGCAAAGTAAATGTGTAGGGTTTCCCCACAAAACGAGTTTTTAATTTAGGTAATTTGGTACGTGAGAGCAATTGCAATCTCTTTGCGCCGCAAAACCTATTCTAGTACCTGGGTGTCACTGTCATATTAGCGAACTAGCTAGCAAAATCCTGTTGCAAAATACACGATATATATTATGGAAACGTTTTTATCACTGAAATCGTTTAAAGTCGGTGTGCCAATAAACTTGAAAAACAGTTTTTAATCCATGCATTTTACCTCAACATTTCTGCAAGGGTCCCAAACAATGTCGTAAGATCAATAACAAAAAGAAACAAATAGAGTAGAAACTCTGCCTACGAAATTAATTCGTTCCGGAAGCCCAAGCATAGGTAGAAGATTCCGTAAGTAGGACGCATTTTACTTGTAGATAACCTAATCCGATTTCAGCCGTCTTAAAACTCGGACATAATATTTAAATAAATTATAATTATGGTTAAACCCCTCACAAATAGAATTAGATTTCGGCATAATAAAAAGAAAATGTACACGTGGAAAGAAGAAAGAACAGAGAAATAATGAATAAAACCGCACACGGCTGAGTTTGATAAAAAAATGAAATAATTGTAAAATGCTTTGAATCAAAACCTGGACGGCGACGCTAGGATATGTGCGCCATATTTAACATTCCCATAAACACGAAAAACGATATTGAAGGTCGCTATATTCGACTATTAAATCTGAATTGGACATCCCTTGTTCAAGCAATGCATTAAATTAACCTAAATTAAACAAATATCACTACACGAGTTTTTTAAGTTTTCGGCTTTTGGCGTTTCGTATGCAGAAAATCTTACGTTAGCGAAAGCAATATTTTTATGAGAAGAATTTTTGTATCCAGAGCCTTTCGTAGGTAGAGTTCCTAGGTTCGGACCGCGGTTCCGCCCAGTTTCTTGTATCTGGCCCTTCTGTAATAAAGGTTGCTCGCCCCTGATTTAGAGCAACAGTGGGCAAACCGTGGTTCGCGGTCCGCACGTCTACTTCTCAATAAGTTGATCAATCCGAAATACCAGCACTATAGCGAGAAATTATTCACAGACAGATTTATTAGACAGTTTAATTATATCAATCAATAAGTTGATCAAATTGCAGACTGCAAGGTGCAGACATATAACACATATAATATAACATATATATATATGAGGTGTCTATAAAGTTTTATGGACATTTGAAATTGCAAAGGGGATTTATCGATATTGTATATTGTTTTGGCCCTCACAATTGTATTAAATGAAGTAAACTACTTAAATAATTGCTAATTAAAAAACATTGAATCTGGTTAAGAAATATTGAGAACTGACTTTATAACAAAATAGAAAATTGTAAAGGGACTTTATGGACACCCTGTATATTTATTAGAAAACGTATGAGAAGATTTATGTGCCAGCTTAATCATTTCAATTAATCATTTAGAGAGTCCTAAAGTCGAAAAATAATCCATTAAGTATATTAATTAGAAATCGTGTGACGGATCGTGCAGACGATACCTGACAAATCGAGCATCGGGGAAACGTTATTATTATCAATACCTGCTTAACGGTATAACTGCATTTGCATATTTAAAGATAAAGAATAAAATATAGTACAGAAGTATTTAATTTTGTAAGTTTATTATGTGCAACACTGGTTTAGGCCGCAATAATGAGTGCTTGACATAATACTGAAGCGGCTAAGAATGAGGCCAATTAGGGATGAAACCAATCAGCAAACAAATTTTGGCGCTCCCGTGATATGTGAACCGAGATGGTGGACACTGGAACGTAGTACTGTAGTATGTGTACCCGGTTAGGGTGAGGCCATAATTTATTCCAATTTTCTCTATTTTAGTTCTATTACAAGTTCGGGGACTAGCCAAATGACGCCCGTAGTATTTGTACCTGAAATTCTGGCTTAAAAGTAACCTGGTACACATACTACGTTCCGATGTCCGCCAACTTGGTTCACATACTACAGGAGTACGCAAATTTTTACAAACGTCAGAGAATTCTGAAACGAAAAGACACCTTCCACAAATATAGTAACCCGAAATTATCGCGAGATATCAGAAGCCGCTTGTAAAAATTCGGTCTGAAGTGCGTGAATCAGCTTCGTATAAAACTGAATACTGAAAATCACATATAAATAGAGCTATGAAAAATAAAACATTCACATAAATGAACTTTAGCCTACTCTTGCATGTAGTCAATATTTAAAACATCGCGTATTTATTATAAATAAAAGTGAGCCTGCTTAAACGCTAAAACACGTGCAAATGGATACCGTATTGAATTAATCTGAATCGTCGGAAATGATGCAGTCGACTTCCGAACAAGTAAATGAGTCCGTGATACGAGCACTATACCGAGAAATTATTCACAGGCAGATGTGCCAGCTTAATTACACCAATTAATAATTTGATCGATCGACAGACTGCACGGTGTCCATATATTTTATGGACACATAACACATATATATATAACACATATAATATAACATATATGAGGTGTCCATAAAGCCCACACCGATGTATTAGATAAAGTAAAAATACTTGTACTGATTGTACTCACTTGAAGCCCAATGAAATCAATACTGTTTAGGCGTAAAAGCTGGGTAGCTTCTAAGTACATTATATTCGTTTGTTTTTGCAGTATTGTGGGGAATAATAGTTTCTGCAATGCAAGGTGGTCGCTAGAAAACAGAAAATTTGTCAAACACCTATTTATTTTTACAAATGATGATTTGAAAACGAGCTTGGGAAGATCTTGGAACGATATCCCACAAGTTAAACTTCAAAACGCTTCACGAGCTTGAACTTCTAGAATCTAGGTCAGGGTGGTCCAAGGTTGTTGGCGCCGCGGGTCCAAATTTATTTTTGCTTTGTTCGCGGGCCATAATACTGCCAAGAACATGTAAACAGTACAGTACAAAACAAACACTTTTATTGTCATTTGTCAAGCTAACCCATGCAAAAACCACCAATAAACTAAAGCCTGCAAATAAATGTCTTTATATATCTACGCATACTGTAATATTGCAAACTCTTCCCGCAAATGTAAGTGCTTTCGAAAATCGTTAAGATATTTAAATCAAAATCTCAACTTTGGAAAATGCTGATTGTTCACAAGAATTTTAAAAACCGTTCAAAATTCAATTCTATTGTCACCGACACAACTTGTCGACATATCAGGGGGGTATAGTGGTATTTCCCCTCCCACATTCAGTTGAAAATCTGTTTTAATTCGCCAATTTTTTTCAAACTCATGTTCACAAAATACCTTGCAAATAATTGCATGTTGATTGATTATCAAAATTGAGGTGCAGAAGGGTAATTACGGTACTAAATTTTCTTACATATAAGCAACAGTTTTTGTAATACTGTTACGGCTGGTTGCAAAAAACAACCGGCATGATAATATTGTTTGGCCATAACATTAGTGTTTAGTGGCAGTAGTGATTTAACAATATGTCAAATCAAAATTTTTGGATAATTTTATGACGAAACAATACGAAATGTATTTTTTTTAATAGTTTCCAAATGCGCCGCGGGCCACAGATAATGAAGCGGCGGGGTTTGGACCACCCTGATCTAGGTTAAAATACTGCGCTGAAGTGCACAAACAACATTTTGAGCATCCTGCCTTCAAAAAACTTTGTAAACGTTATTTATTGTGAAAATAAATAGCTGTTTGACAAATTTTCTGTTTTTCTAGCGACCAACCTGTAGTTTACAGCAGTTGTTCTCAACCCATTTCGCTAAATTCCTTCCTCGGTCTATTTAAAATCTCTTTAATCCTAT